GTGATTTCTGGTGGATTTACAAAAACATAAACTGCAAAAAAATAAAATAAAATAAATAAATAAATAAATATATATATATATATATATATATATATATATATATATATATATATATATATATATATATATATATATATATGCTCCAGGGATGTATTTGGTGATCTCCATAAATGTATATAGCGGTACGTTTGCAGAATGTGCTGGGTTGCAATTATATCAACTAGGTAAATTAGGTTTAATTAATTAATCATGGCACAACACTGCTTTTTTCTGTAGGCAATCCAAGAATAAAAATTGATAAAACTTTAGTTAAAGTAACAATTTACGTCATTTACTACAGGCTTATTACCTGCCTTTTACTAAGATATTAACTGGTTATTAGCACTGATCTTATTTTACATCCCTAATCCTACCCAACTACTACCTTACTAACTCTTAATAAGCAGCTAGTTAGTAGTTTATTGAGCTCAAAGTCTTAATGCATGTTAATAGTGTGAATTGTGTGCAGTTTTTACATAAAAAAAGATTTTATATATATATATATATATATATATATATATATATATATATATATATATATATATATATAATTCTTTTATTTCAGCCAAACTATAGGAAATAAGTCGTTATCCATAAAAAATATATATAATTGAAAATACAAAATTTCACACGAATGAGGGCTAAAGATTTTGTCTTCAGCCTTATGCATTTTCTACAAATGTAATATGTTATGTTATCTGACTACAAAAGATGAAAGGTCATACCAGTAAAAGCTCAAAAGTCCAGCATCAATATACTGTAAACAGATTGGGTTGCAATTTGCTCTGATGTTGTCTATTTCTGTACTGTATATTGATGCTACGACTAACAAGCGAAGACGTCTGCGTGCATTTCCCAGCCCTCGGTTTGACTAGTTTTACTTCTGCTGAAAATAGCAGCACTCAAATCCTCCTTAATGCATCACATGAAAGAGAAATCGAGAGGTGCGTTTCATTCTCAGCCTCTCAAGGGTAATTACTGCATCGCTGAAATACTAGCTGTCATGTTTCTGTTGTGATGACACAAAACATGAAAGAAGCAGCATTAAAAGATCACTAGAAAATTGAACTATATCCAAAACTATCAGATTATATGCATGTAGTCAGAAAAAAATTATAATAAATGTAATACTTAGAAAATTTGCAAATAATTAGAGTAAACTACTATCTAAAATACACTCAATTGGATTCAAAAACAAAAACATCACAATTGGATTCAGGTCAGGGCTTTGACTAGGCCACTCTAAACTCTTCATTTTGCTTGTCTTCAGCCATTCAGAAATGCAAATACATTCTTTTTTCCCCCACCAAAATCAGCTTATTGCAGATTAATTGAGTCATTCTCTATAATAGTTGCGAATGCAAATAAATTGTTTTTATTTGTTGTTCTGTTGCTTTTTTGTTGTCAAAAACAGCAAAGGGATTGGCATATTTGGGTTGATCTAAAATTCCTCTTATAAAAAAAGATCTTATTGCAGCTGATGTGATTCGTCTTCTATAAATGCCTAACATAGTTTTGCTTGTGATTCAGGTCAGGACCTTGACTAGGCCACTCCAAAGTCTTAATTTAGCTTGTTTTCAGCCATGTAGAAATGCAAATACATTGTTTTTTTTTTTTTTGCAAGAAACAACAAAAGGGAATAAAATTATACATTTAGGTTGAAATAAAATTACCTTTATAAAAAAACATCTTGGAGGAGATTTGATTCGTCTTCTATAAAAGTCTAACATAGTTTAGCTTGTGATTCAGGTCAGGACTTTGACTAGGCCACCCCAAAGTATTAATTTTGGTTGTTTTCAGCTAATCAGGAATGCAAATACATTGTTTTTATTCATTTATTATTTTTTTTGCCAGAAACACCAAATGAATTGTCATTATAAATTTGGGTTCAACAAAAATTCCTCTTGTAAAATCATTTTCTTGCAGCTGATTTGAGTCGTCTTCTATAAATGTCTTCTATAAACATAGTTGAGCTTGTGTTTCGTCTACGTACGCAAGAGACTTTCAGTAAAATCATCTAAATTCCTACATTTAAACATCTAATTACAGGATGAGCTCTGTTTAAATCACAGATGCAGAAGAGGAACGAGTGTGTTGGTGTTTTTTCACTTCACTCTCTCTTTCTGTCATGTTTGCATCTGCTGTTAATGACGCCGTGGAGCGTTTTGGCGTCTCGCAGCTGGCACTTTTGAAGATGCGCGCGCGCACACATACACGCACGCGCTTTCAACAACACACTGCATGCCAGATCTGTGCCTTCACTCACTGAAACACATCATGAAAAGCATCTGCTGCTCTTTTAATATGAGGACAATAAGCAGAAAGTCCTTATGGTCATTTTTTTCCAGGCAAAAAAAAAAAAAAAAAAAAATAAAAAATAAAAAAAAAAAAATATATATATATATATATATATATATACACACATACCTGTACATACACACACAGTACATACATATAAATACATATATACGTATATATATATATATATATATATATACACACATACACATATATATACACACACACATATATATATACATATATATACATATATACATACATGCATACATACATATATACATACACACATATTATATATATATATACACACACACACACATATATATATACATATATATACACATACATACACATATATATACATACATACATACATACACATATATATATATATATATATATATATATATATATATATATATATATATATAGTAAGCATCTTGCAATTTTCATTCTTTTTATTTTTATTTTACTTCACTTTTATTTTATTAATATATACTGACTTCTCCAAATACAATTTTTAATGTCTCAAGGTTGTTTTCTTTTTTCAGACTATTAGCAAAGGCACCTGGAGCTTTTCATTACCATTTAATCAGTAACTCATTACCTCAGTGAGGCTGTCTCTAGCAGGCCGATCAATTATCTTATTGATCAGTAAAGTGCTGAGACCAAAATACCACTGCAGCCCACAGGTCACGTTATACAACTAAAACCAGCTCAGGATCCAACAAAGAGCAGGCAAAAATAATATTATGGAAATCTATATTATTCTGTATTTGAGATGCAAGTGATGTTTTCTTACCATACAGACAGTAGAGAGACATTTGACCACATTTAATGGCATCTTCAAGGTGAGCTACTGGCAAAGTGTTTGACATTAGGAGACATTTAAATCCTGCTGACTGTATCTGCAATAAATCTGCCTTTAAAAGCAAACATCGCTGATTGAAAAGCTCAGAGAGACGGCATGCAATTTTCTACTGACCTTTAAAGCAACTTCAAATCTGTACAAACATTTTAACCACATAGAAAACCACTGCGTATGTGTTTTTATTTATAGGTATGTCTATTTTTTTAACTATTGTAAGTGTTTATTGGCAGAATGTCTGTAACTTTCATCATTAACTTAATAAATAAACAAATTGGTTAAGCTTGTTCTACTATTTTAGCACAGGTTAATTCATTTATACAATATTTATTTTTCTAGCACACATTGTTAGATTGAAGGTGAACAATTAATTAGTTAATCCACTGAAAAAAAGGTTTGTTTTTGCAATCTTTAATCAAAATCTGTCCATCTACTTCTAACGAGGACCTCAGTTTGATGGCTTGTGTAAAATCCATAGCCATGGGCCTCAAACCTTATTTTGTGAGGCGTGAAAGATGTTTATGAATTTTAATAAAACTCCGCCCCCTACTTAATACTCTGTCTTAGATAGAAATAAGCTAATTATAATCTACAGCTGCTTTACTGACATTAATTTTTGCCGTATCTGATTATCATACAAGAGGGAAATTCCTCATGAATTAACACCATATCCCTCCGCCTTATTGATAATTCAGCAGACCACATCACACACTCCTCCTCCATCATGTGTTCCTCTGCCTCAGCCAAGGGTAATTACAGTGTTCTCCGTAAATACATCATCAATCTGTAATAATAATAATAATCTGCAGCAACTTCTGAATTCACATGGACTTTAATAACTTTACCGCATCTGATTATAACATGTGTATTGAAACACCTCATGAATTAACACAAAATATTCCTCCGCCTAGCAAACTTCATCACACGCGTCCCTATCGTGTGTTCCTTCACCTCAGCCACACAGGTCATACTTTACTTAAAATCTGCAGCAACTTCCAGTTCAACATGGACTTTAATAATTCTAACTGTATCTGATTACATAAGGAAGAAATGTCCCATCAATTTAAAGAATATTAATTCAGAATTAATACTAAATCCCTTTGCCTGATTGACAATTAAGCAGCTGCGTCCCTACCATGTGTTCTTCCACCACAGCCTCAGGTAACTGTGCTCTCCAGAAAAAACATCATCATCATACTTTAATTAAAATCTGCAGAAACGTCCGTTTCACATAGTCTTTAACAACTTGAACTGTATCTGATTATCATATGAGCTGAAACACCTCATGAATTAACACAGCATATCCTTCCGCCTGATTGATAATTCAGCAGACCGCATCACAGTCAGCCTTACCGTGTGTTCCTCCACCTCAGCCGCAGGTAGTGTTCTCTAGAAATACATAATCATTATACTGTAATTAAAATCTGCAGAAATGTCCGTTTCACACAGACTTTAACAACTTGAACTGTATCTGAATATCTTATGAGCTGAAACACCTCATCATGAATGAAAAGTGTAAACCATATTCCTCCGCCTGATTGATCATTCAGCAGACCGCATCCCCCTACCGTGTAATCCTCAATTTAAGCCGAAGGAAATAAGTGCTCTCCAGAAATACATCATCAAACTGTAATTAAAATCTGCAGAAACTTCCCGTTCACATGGCCTTTAATAACTTACCTGTATCATATGAGCTGAAACGCCTAATGAATTAGCACCAATATCCTTCCGCCTGATTGATAATTCAGCAGACCGCATCACACGCGCCCCTCCATTGTGTATTTCTCCGCCTCAGCTGCAGGTAATTAGTGCTCTCCGGTGTGTGTGGCGGAACACAGACATCAACCGACACGCGTACAGGTACCATTTATCAGAGGATCTAGTGAGAGCATAGAGCAGAAATGGGCTCGTTTGGAGGGATGTTTTGGATTTTACACTGGATAGCACTTTATGTCCAGATCAGCTCGAAACTGGCAGTGGATAATCACGTATCTGGAAATGGTAAGTGTGAGAAACGGGAGGTGCTTCAAAATATTGAGGTAAAGTTAGCTTTATTTTCACACATTTGGACTTTCTCCTTAATAATATAAGTTCAGATAGGTATTCTTTGCTAATTCTAAATGGTGAAATCATATTAGCAGCCAATGACTATTAAAATAACATTGTTCAGTCAGGTAAATAGTGCTTATCATGTCATACTTGCATGTGATTTAAGACCGAATATTCAAAGTACCATGGTAAACAATATAGGGAGCGTGTCACAAGTTGTCACTGGACGAATGTGCAAATATATAACCAAAATTACCTCAATTTTCAAAATCAGCTGCTTACTTACAACAGCATTTCTGGGGCATCACAGAGGAGTGAATAAACCCTGATAAGAGAAGTTATTATGCTTCTAATGCTTGTTTCATCAATAGTTTTACTCTCAAATTGAATAATTGAGCATGAAAGTAATAATAATAATACTAATGAGTCGTGCTTTTGAAAGGTACAATGCACTAATTTTTTTTTAACTTGCTCAAACTAATTTAAAATGAGCTGAAACAACACAATTCTTGAGATTTCATTGGGACAACTTAATTTTTTTATGTTCAGTCCTCAAAAATGTGTTAAAATTGTTAAGTTAACTTAATCGATGTGTTGGGACAACATGAATAAAATGTGTGGAACCCTGCATTTTCTACAGTGTGTGATGCTGGTGATCTGTGGAGGTTTGTTTGGAGGTAAAAGATGCACATTCATTCTATATTAAATGAGACATTGTGAACTCGTTGCATAAATGAAACAAATACAGAATATTAGAGTTACAGGAGGACTGTGTGAGTAAAGTAGGCTATACACAAAGTAATATATTTTGTTAACTTGATTAATGTATGCATGTTTTAGTATTGACTTTAGTACTTAGTTTTGTTTTAAGTATAATTTTTAATATCAGGAACAAACACTAAAATGGATATTAGGCAGCAGTATTTGATGAAGGGTTGACTGTGATTGTTTTTGGCATGGTTTTGAATGATTGTTTTTCTTATAAAACTCAGGGTGAGGCCATAAGTGGTTTTAAAATTAAAATTATGTAGTTTATTAAATGTTTTATGGTCAAATAGGGTTCAGGATTGTATGTATTTTGCGTTTTTCTGTTTCAGAAATTGTTTTGTCATCGTTTAATTGGTCATTTTAGGGCTGGATTGTATATTCAGTTTGATTTTAATTCTCAATTTCTTTTTTCCGTTAGTTACATTTCTGATTTAATTTCTCAATTCTTGAAATTATTAAGTGCATGTAGGTTTAATACAAATGCTATTAAAATTTAGGTGAATTTTTTTTTTATCAAAAAGCTAATTAATGAAAATAAACTGAGCCCCAGACCTTTAACCACACACCTTTATTAAACTCCCCATTCATGCAAGGAGTAGTCAGAATATAGAATATCCAATTTTCCAAATTTTGGATTTTTGGATTTTAATAATTAAATGCAAAATTACACTGTATAGTCTTCATTGTATAAACAATTAAACACAATCTTTATTAAAGTGGCAAACTCTATAATTTTTTAAATAATCAATGTTGCCACCCGTTTAATTCTGTATATATACATTCATTTTCTTGTCGGCTCAGTCCCTTTATTAATCTGGGGTCGCCACAGCGGAATAACCCGCCAACTTATCCAGCAAGTTTTTACGCAGCGGATGCCCTTCCAGCCACAACCCATCTCTGGGAAAGATCCACACACACATTCACACACGCACTCATACACTACGGACAATTTAGCCTACCCAATTCACCTGTACCGCATGTCTTTGGACTGTGGGGGAAACCGGAGTACCCGGAGGAAACCCACGTGAACGCAGGGAGAACATGCAAACTCCACACAGAAACGCCAACTGAGCCGAGGATCGAACCAGCAACCTTCTTGCTGTGTGGCGAATGTGCTACCCACTGCGCCACTGCATCGCCTATATATATATATGTGTGTGTGCACAAAATAAAAACTCTTTAAATTCATATTATGCTCTGTTTACTTTGTGGCGTTCATTCAAGTCAGGGGTGTCCAAACTTGGTCCTGAAGAGCTGGTGTTCTGCATAGTTCCAACCCCAATTAAACACACATGAACCAGCTAATCTCTTTCTTAGTATACTAGAAACTTCCAGGGAGGTGTGTTGCAGGAAGTTGGAGCTAAACTATGCAGGACCTGAGACAAATAGTGTTCATAGTACGTTTACTGGGGTCCGTTCTTCGTACCTCACTTAAATGATCTAAGATTATTTGGCTGATCCCGGATCTGTTAATCTTGATAACTGATCTCTCGCTAATTTTATTCTTCAAACAAGTTCGCGAATCAGATTAGAATGTCTGGATGAACTGATCTGAGATCGCTGCGTGTGTTGTGAAGGACAGGGGTCCGTTCTTCGTACCTCGCTTAAATGATCTAAGATGATTTGGCAGATCCTGGATCTTTTAATCTTGATAACTGATCTCTCGCTAATTTGGTTCTTCAAACAAGTTCGCGAATCAGATTAGAATGTCTGGATGAACTGATCTGAGATCGCTGCGTGTGTTGTTAAGGACAGATCTATCGATCCTCGAAATCATGATCAGCAATGCAACGATTGGCTGACGGCACAGCAGCGTAATGACATCATCTGATTAATATTCAATTATCCATGTGAGCAAAATTACATCAAATTAGCAGTAAACGGCTTGTTAAATATGACACGCAGTAACTTCACATTTGTTGTGAGCTGCAGGCTTTACACTTTCATTTGTCAAGACAAGAGTATTCATCATGTATTTCAATGCAAATCAATGTATTTAGTTCTACATTTAGAAAAGATTTTCTTTATTATAGTACAGTTTTTTAATCGGTGTAAAGAATAACTGGTTGTTTCCAAAAGCATTTTGATATTGGTAAAGGCGTCTGCAACTTTTTTGAAGCATCAAATCACCGGCATATTAACTGTCAAAACATGTTTATGACTGCATAAATGTATTATTGCTTTTAAAAAAAGTGATACATATTGTGCATTTCTATTATACACAATTTGTACTAAAGCGATCTAAAAAGTTCATATCAATAAGTTTTCTCTTTGCACCACCAGGTGGCAGTCTTTGTACTTTCATTTCGAGGGTGCAGATTGCATACGTTATATTAATATGTAAAACTTTATTTATTTTATTAATGACTATAACTTTAAATATATAGTTAAAAACTACTATTTTGTAGTGTATAAGTGTATATAACTTTTACTGTAAGAAAATATCAGAACTCGGTACATACTTTCTGTATTATCTTTGCTTGAACTGAGCCGATCTAATCCTGTTTATATGAATTGAACCTGCTCCCGATCAGGTTTGACCTAGCAGATCTGTTGCCATGACAACAACTCTCGGATCAGCTTTGAAGAACGAAACGATCCTGGATCGTGTCAAATCGTCAATATCCAAATCCAGCTAACTGAGTAATCCACGTACGAAGAACGGACCCCAGATCTATCGATCCTCGAAATCATGATCAGCAATGCAACGATTGGCTGACGGCACAGCAGCGTAATGACATCATCTGATTAATATTCAATTATCCATGTGAGCAAAATTACATCAAATTAGCAGTAAACCGTTTGTTAAATATGACACGCAATAACCTTCCACATTTGTTGTGAGCTGCAGGCTTTACACTTTCATGTGTCAAGAGTATTTATCATGTATTTCAATGCAAATCAATGTATTTAGTTCTACATTTAGAGAATATTTTCTTTAATATAGTAGCCGGTTTTTAATCGGTGTAAAGAATAACTGGTTGTTTACAAAAGCGTTTCCATATTGGTAAAGGCGTCTGCAACTTTTTTGTGAAGCATCAAATCACCGGAATATTACCAATCAAAACATGTTTATGACTGCTGAAATGTATTATTGCTTTAAAAAAGTCACATATTGTGCATTTCTATTATACACAATTTGTACTAAAGCGATCTAAAAAGTTCATATCAATAAGTTTTCTCTTTGCACCACCAGGTGGCAGTCTTTGTACTTTCATTTCGAGGGTGCAGATTGCATACGTGTTATTAATATGTATAACTTAATTTATTTTATTAATGACTATAACTTTGTATATATATATATATATATATAGTTAAAAATATGTACTATTTTCCCAAATGTATATAACTACTACTGTAAGAAAATATCAGAATTCGGTGTATACTTTCTGTATTATCTTTACTTGAACTAAGCCGATCTAATCCTGTTTATATGAATTGAACCTGCTCCCAATCAGGTTTGAGCTAGCAGAACTGTTGCTATGACAACAACTCTCGGATCAGTTTTGAAGAACGAAACGATCCTGGATCGTGTCAAATCGTCAATATCCAAATCCAGCTAACTGAGTAATCCACGTACGAAGAACGGACCCCTGGAGTCTTGCTTCTAATTTATTATTCTGCATTTATATTCACAAGAATGAGTGATCAATAATCCCAGTGTCAAGATATGCCGTGATTACAACTTCTTAAACACTTTATAAACACCTATAGAGAGATGGTGCTGTATAGACAGGTGACCTTATGAACATTTTCGGTATGATGGAAGAAAATCCAGCAATCAGAAAGTGTGAGCTGATAGAGTGTGTGTCAGACAATAACACTGCAGTGTTATAGACTCTGGATAATTACCTTTTACTCTGAGCGAATGGTGACTGTGCATATTAATGACCAGAGGAGAAACAAAGAAAACAGATGCTCACGGTGTACATTCTCATTACAGAAACAAAGCAGAAATCGGGGAGTAATTACCGGCGTGCAGAGGGAAAAGATCTTCATACTGTATGCCTTCCAGAGTCTCAATATGAAGATCAGATCATGTTGAGGCATTTCTTGAATATATTTAATTTCCTCTAACTCACAGGTGTCAAACTCAGTTCCAAAAGGGCCGCAGCCCTGCACAGTTTTGTTCCAACCCTAATTAAACACACCTGATCAAACTAATTGAGTCCTTCAGGCTTGTTTGAAACCTACAGGTAAGTGTGTTAGAGCAGGGTTGGAACTAAACTGTGCAGGGCTTCGGCCCTGCAGGAATTGAGTTTCACACCCCTGCTCTAACTTATTAATAATAATAATTCCAGTTCGTATTTTGTAATGTCAATATTAATATGAAAATGGTGTACTTAAATGTGTGTATATGATCTCATGCTGACTTTATTGTGTGTGTGTGTGTGTGTGTGTGTGTGTGTGTGTGTGTGTGTGTGTGTGTGTGTGTGTGTGTGTGTGTGTGTGTGTGTGTGTGTGTGTGTGTGTGTGTGTGTGTGTGTGTGTGTGTGTGTGTGTTTGCAGCTCTGTTTACGGAGGTTCCCGCTGATGTGTTTTCTCGAGCCGGAGAAGATGTGGAGATGAGCTGCTCCTTCAGAGGATCCAGTTCCTCGTCCGTCTCACTGGAGATCCAGTGGTGGTACAGCAGACAATGGGCGGAGCCATTGCCGTGGGCAACCAATCAGGAAAGACACACTTTCGCATAATCATTTGTTCTTTACCTTATGCAAATTGTTTGGTGCAGTTTTACCAGAAAAGGTTTTCGCATTTTTAATAAAAAAAATAATTACATTTTAAAATATTGTTTATATATTTATTTATTTTTAAATGAAAAGTACCAAAGAAGAATTATTTTTTTATTTTAATGAAGAACAAGTAAAAAAAACCTAAATTAAGATTTATGCTGCAATGGAAAAGTAGTGTGTTAGAATGTAAAAAATCAAGTTTAGTGTGAAGTTGTTGTTTTTTGCCACAAAAAACATTGGATGCTAACATGGCAATAAAATAAGTATTTTTTTTACAGTATTTGTTCAGGCTACTGGATATTTGGTATGCATGTATTTAGCTGTAGTATAAATTAGTTTGTGGTTTTAAATGCTGTTTTGTGTCTACAGGTGGTTTCACAGGAAAATGCATCAAAGGGGGCGACTAAAATCAGTGTGAGTTTTCCCTTCTCTCTTGCTGTGTCTCTCTCTTTATATATATATATATATATATATATACACATACACACACACACACACACACACACTCACTCATGCATACAGTATGTATGTGTTTGAATATGCACTTAACATTTACGTTCTCTCTTCTGCCTGTTAATAAATAAAGAATACTTGACTGTTTAAATACTGATCTGTTTAATTGTTTAAAAATTATTAAAAAAATAATTTTGATACAAATTATTTTATAAATATAAAAAAAAATTATTTTGTTTTTTAATAATTCAACGGACTGAAGTCAACTACTCTGCTTTATACTTTTTTTCTTTACAGCCACTGTTCAGATGTTGTATTTTATTAATTTGTCAGGTTTATGTCCTTAAACTGCTCCTGTGAAGCACTAGTTTCTTACATCTCATCTAAAGCCTTCTGTTGTGTTTTGATGTGATTTTTGACTGTTGTAGCTGTGAAACTTCTCCAATCGTTCAGCGTAGTAATATGGAGCTGTAATGTGCTCAAAACCGGCCGGAACTACTTTAGCTGTGTGTTTATCTGAACCTTATAAAGTAGCTCCTCCTCTTTTTAAAAGAATCAGCCAATGGACTTTTGTTTTATCACGGCTCTGCCAATGAGAATAATTGAGTTAGAGTGCATCAAATGAAAAGCAAAGAAAAAGCGTCTTGAAGGGGGCGGGGCATGTCAAACACTAGAGAGCATTTGATGAGAAACCGAAGAATGAGGTGAAGTCAAAAAAAAAAGTGAGACTGCAATGGATGTTTATATTTTCTAAGCTCTGATTTTGTCATTGTAGCACACTAGCTGTTCTAAAAAGTAACATACTGATATGAACATTTACAAAAACAATCAAAAATCATAGAATCACCCTCCATTTCTGAGGGATTATCTTAAAAAAAATGTTAGTCAGCCAATCAGAATGAAGCATTCAACAGCCCTGTGATATTATATTTCATATGGATGTTTTAAGGTGGTGAAGGTGGTTGGCAGCAACATCTCACACAAGCTTCGTCTGTCCAATGTCAAGCCATCAGACGAGGGAACATACGAGTGTCGGGTCATTGACTTCAGTGAAAACCGAGTCCAGCGGCATCAAGTCCAGGCGTACCTGCAGATCCAGCGGACAGAAGAGGAGACCTCAGAAAACCAGCAGAAGAAAGAAAAGCAGATCCTTCATCATCATCATCCTCATCATCTGTATGAGGAGAACAAAACCAGAACACAATAATTAGATGCGAATTGCAATGTCGCATAAAACATTTGCAGATAAAGCAGCGTTTCCATCCAATGAGAAACAGAAGAGAACAAAATCATCACTTCCTGATGAACTGCCGGCAAATATCAGACAGAAAAATGTACCTTGCAATAGGAGAAGCCACTGGGGGCCTTTTATCTTGTCTAATACTTAACTTAAGATGATGAAGATGATGAAAAGAAATGATCCAGCTGTCTGTAGATTTAAAGAATTGTTCCTCCTCTTTATAACAATGAACCTGTGCTGTGAATGTTTGACGTAATCTGAACTGAAACATGAAGAGAGGGCAGGACATGGAGTAGCTCCTCCCCTTTTGTAAAAATCAGCCAATAGCGTTTTGTTTTGATCACAGCTCTGCCAGTGAGAGTGGATGAGCTCAAGTGCATCAAATGAAAAGCAAACGAGAAGGGGGTGGGGCATGTCAGATACTAGAGAGCATTTGATTGGTCAAGATTTGTTGAGAAACTCAAGTATAAGCTGATGTAAAAAAATCCTCGATCCATTTATTGTAGGCAAATGGTGACTAATGGCAAGATTTGGATGTTTAAATCGGGTTTATATCTTCTAAATGGTAATTGTTTTGGAGCACACTAGCTTAGAGAGATCCTGAACTAACAATACTGATAGTAACATCTAAAAATCTTTATTTAAATTTTACAGGAACTTTTGTGTGGGTAAACATTAGTTTAAAAACAATAGAAAGAATAGTCTTAATTTTAGCAAATGTCGCCTTTAAAGGAGGGCAATAATGAAATAAAACAGCAGATATTAATTCAGGAGCTGATTTAAGCTATATATTAATATATTGATTAGAAATGAGGACAAAAAGGACTGAATGAACATGTATTTTACCTTTTACTGCTTTATTTGCATGCTTTTTGTATTAATCTGTTTTGCCAAAATATGTTGGTAAATGGGACAACATGGTGACTTGTGTGTGTGTGTGTGTGTGTGTGTGTGTGTGTGTGTGTGTGTGTGTGTGTGTGTGTGTGTGTGTGTGTGTGTGTGTGTGTGTGTGTGTGTGTGTGTGTGTGTGTGTGTGTGTGTGTGTGTGTGTGTGTGTGTGTGTGTGTGTGTGCGCGCGCGCGCGCGTGTGTGTAACGCATATTTTGAGAATTAAATTTCACCTAAACCTAGTTTGGGGCAATTTATTTGCCCTTTTTTGTGGTTGATGTTTTGTGAAGTTAAGATGAATGTGTGTTTTATTAAACTTTTAGACAGATCTCTGTCTGTTAATGGCTTTTCCATGACAGTCCAGTGGTTGTAGTGATGTTGAACTGATTTTAATGATGAATCTTCTGTATATCTGTTTAGTTCTGCTTTATTGTTCTCTCTGTTTTACCCATAAACATAACAACTACAGTCATATAAACAAATGAACCAATACTGTCGTTTTCTACAACTATTGCTTTATACAATACACCACATTTACAGTAGTAAACACGGGGCATTCATTAACAAAGTGTTGAAAAATAATATATACAGTTTCATGCACTATAGTATGGCTCAAAATCACTATAGTCATTAGTACTTTTTCATGTGACTCAAGTCACTTTCTTAAACTTCTGTTGATATTTATTTAATAAGCCATAAACTCTTTAAAACATGTATCAGTGTCATGGTATGATATGTATGAACACTCATGAGTATTTTATGATTATTTTTAAAGTCTAAAATAATTTTTAAAGCTTGATGTATGTGTGTGTTGTGTGCAAGAATCTTTGTAAAAGTGTGTGATGCAACACTGCCCTCCTCTGGATAAACTTGCACTCTTGCATCCATAATTCCCAGCAGACAAGTTCCAGCAAGTGGTTCTATCTCGACGTGTTGTGTTCTGCTTTCATGACATCTTGTACATTTTATCTGACATAATTGTTGACAACTCGGGTACTAGATAATAAAACTTTTAGGTAATCTACATGTTTAGGTAGTTCAACTACAGTTACACTTTAAATAACTTATTGAAACTGTTCTGTATAACAATTTAAGAGAAGTTCAGTAATTGTATTTTTGTTATACAAACATATTTTGCAGAATAATTCAAATTTTCTAAAAAAAAAAAAAAAAAAAAAACTTATCAAATGAACATGCTTTTAAACTATGAATTGAGTTAGAAATTATTCAGTGACAATAGTTTATTGTACCACACACACACACACACACAATACTTACCCTACACTGTAACACTGAGTCTAGACTGAAGGTCGAACAGTGCACCTTTAGAAATAAACTCTGGAGATGACCAGCTAAAACCAGGTTTAAGTTAGACCTAGCTGGTTTGGCCGTGCTCTCAGCCTGGTGTGTGTGTTTTTTGTGAACTACCCCTTTCAGCTAATTTCTTTGACCAAGACCAACAGAAGTAATTCAATACTCTTCAAGCAGATGACATTGAAGAATAGCCTAATTCATCCCCACTACAAAAAAAAAAAAAATATGTTCAAAAGCTTTTTGACACCTTCAGGTATGAAAAAGTAAGATGTGAGTCAGCTGTCAGACTGCGGGATGAAATAAACCCTGTGGAATGTTTATCCAGTGAAAACCTGAGCTACACAAGAAGAAGAGGCTTTTAAAATTCAACATATCAAAAATAGAAGCACTCCTTTAACTCAAAACAATATCTCTGTTCATCATGAGAGACTTAATAACCCTTTACTGAACACTCTTTGGAGTTTCATTGTCTGCGGTTTGCATGTTTGATTAATCTGTAGCCTACATTAGGAAATGCAAGGACTATTGGGAGGGTTCATTTATTACTTTCTTTGAAAGAATGGCGAATGTGGCCAGAAAATGATGGCAAATATGTGGTGATTAGTCTGTAAATGTTTATGTGCTATAGCAACAGAGCTAGCGTTCAGGAAACGGCTTCCTGTTCGCCGCCCGGCTAACTTCCTGTGCTGGCAGACGAACTGTTAAATGTGTCGAGATAAACTTCATAACCTTTAGTGTTTGTGTAATTCTGGCCAACATTTTCTTTAGGTTCAACTTCAGCATGTACTAATCTGTACAACGCTATTGTAGTACTAGCGCCGGCCGTATGTTGATGCTGGTCTGGTGCTGGTCAGCATTAAAACATAACCTACCTTAACAGCATAAGCAGTTTTTTTCTCTCAGCAGGGATCTATAGCAATAAATTATGCATAATTAATTAAGGTTACACTTTATTTTGATGGTTCGTTTCTTAAATTTAAGTTATTGCAACTAATTCTCAGATTAAAAGTAGAAGGTTGCCCTAGTATACTGAAAAATCCAGCTTAAACCAGCCTAGGCTGGTTGGCTAGTTTTAGCTGGTCGGCCAGGCTGGTTTTAGAGGGGTACATTTTGGCCATTTACAGGCTGGTGTCCAGCCATTTCCAGCCTGGTCTTAGCTGGTCAGGCTGGGAGAAGACCAGCTAAAACCAGCTTGAGCAGCCTAGCCAGACTGGGAGCCCAGCCAAAACCAGCTATGTCCAGCTAAAACCAGGCAGGTCAAGCTGGTTTTTACTGGATTTAGCTGGTCATTTTTCAGCCTGACCAGCTAAGACCAGGCTAGATATGGCCAAAACCCCTCTAAAACCAGGCTGGTCGACCAGCTAAAACCAGCCAACCAACCTAGGCTGGTTTAAGCTGGATTTTTCATTAGGTTGGGGTTAAGGTTAAGTTGACATCTACTTGCAAAGTTTCTTATAGTCAGTTAAATGTCTGTTGAAGGACTGTAAATGTCAGTATCAACAGATATTAAGCAGTCTACTAATACTCACATCAAAATAAAGTGTCCTTAATTAAACCCAACCTGCAACACTTTAATGTTGACATCAGTGAATGCATAATTACATGCAACTAATCCACATTCTAACCCTAGTTATTGGCTATAAATATATGTAATGCATTACTCAGTTTTGAATAGTTACACTATAACAAAGTACAGGTTAACTTAACATGTAACCCTAACATGCATGCCTTTACACATGTCTCATGAGACGTTAAACCGAGGTCCTGACTCTCTGTGGTCGTTAAAAATCACAAGAGTAGGGGTTTAAGCCCGGCATCCTGCCCAAATTTGCCCACTGGCCTCTGTCTATCATGGCCTTCTAACTCTCCCCATAATACAATTGGCTTCATCACTCTGTCTCCTCTCCACCAATCAGCTGGTGTGTGGTGGGCGAACTGGCGCAAAATGGCTGCTGTCATGTCATCCAGGTGGATGCTGCGCACTGGTGGTAAGGAGATTTTTCTCTATGTGTAAAGTGCTTTGAGTGCCCAGAAAAGCGCTATATAAATGTAAAGAATTATTATTATTACTATAGATGTACATGTAGATAATTAATATTGCTACTTAATATCGGTTCGCTGTAATTAAGACACTAAAATAAAATGTGAGGAAAACATCAGGTCAAAACATAGGATTTAAAATGATAGGATAAAACGTAAAGACAAGCCTGTGTATATTTTACATACAGCTGCTGGTTAGTTAGAATTTTTCAGGTTTAAATTAAATAAAATATCAATCATTCAAACGTTATTCTAATGTAGTTGTCATACACTATGTAATGAATAATGTAGAGCAGTTCCTCATGAGATGAAAACACTCCATGAATGATTACAGCATCATTTTAATGTAAAAATTACAGATGAATATAAAATTTTTATATATATTTCAAGCAAAAACAACATGAGCATGCAGAATTTACTGTATATGGCCTAAAATCTCAGTCAGACTTCCATGCACAATTTAATTTGTTGCAAAAACAAATGTCCAAACACATCCAGGAATGTGTATATTTCAGAGTCCTAAAAAGATTTCTAGTCATTAATAGTTGTGTGTTGTGTGCTTGAAAACTCTTGTGTGTGTGCGGTGTGTCCCACTACAGAAGCGTGGAGTTTCACATTCTTACAAAAATACAGTATATGAAAGAGAAGGTAAATCTCTGTGAATAATGACAGGTATACAATGGAAGACTGATGGCTTGACGTGCTCATTTCCCGATGATGACGTTCCTGTATCCTCGAACGTGGCCCAGCTTGTCGCTGTTGAAGTCCACGAGGAGTTTGCGCAGGCCAGACTGAGTGGGAGTGAAGTAGATTTTGGCTTTGGCCTCCTGCCCCGGTTCAATGCTGGAATCCAGTCTGAGACGTATAAACATTCACAGTTAGAAATCAGGCAGATTAGATTCTTCTCATATTACCTGCCTGAATGCTGTTTATTTAAATGTAAACTAGAGAAGTGTGCAGAGAAGCATGCAGCAGAGCTGGACTGTGTTTAAATAACAGCTTTTTAAGGAAAAGAATGATCGAAATGGGTGGCATGGTGGCGCACTGTGGCCTCACAGCATGAACTTCGCTAGTTGGACCAGTTTGCATTTCTGTGTGGAGTTTGCATGTTCTCCTCATGTTGGCGTGGGTTTCCTCCGGGTGCTCCGGTTTCCCCCACAGGGTCATTTGTAGTATATGTATCCCAAAAACATAAACCCCTGAGTTCTGGGAGTGTGTTCTATATATCATCTCTCAGTCTCCGCGGTGTGTTTTCTCAGTCTTGTGAGCTCTTACGTGTGTGTGATGCTGTCTCCACCGGTCAGGTTTGCTCCCTCTATAGTGAAGCAGCAGCTCTGTAAGGCTTCAGGCAGTGGGTTCTGGATAGTGAGCTCCGCCGCCAGCTTACGGTTCTCCTTGGGTTCTCCCAGAATCTATAACCACACACACACAAAGGTTTGTTTTAGTGAATTGTGGGGACATTCCATAGGTTTCCATTGTTTTAAACTATGCAAACTGTATCTTCTATCGCTGTACCAAACACCAAACCCTACCCTTTACAGGAAACGGTTTTACTTTCTGAAAAAAAAAAAAATTGTTCTGTATGATCAATAAGACTTTTGAAAAATGGAGACATCAGCAATGTCCTCATAATTCACCTTCATGCCTGATATATAAAAACACACACACACGTGCACACACAGTATGTTTGTAACAGTGAAATGATGCGATAAGTGTATTAACGATCTAAGTGCATGGTCTAAAGCACACACCGCAGCTGGACTTAGGGCATTTCCGAATCTACTTTTGGTATTTTAAGGAGGGGTAAAAAGGTTGGTGCATCCAGCGCATTGTCTAAAATAGAGGTTCTCAAAGTAGGGGTCGGGACCCCCTGGGGGGTCGCGGGACAATGACAAGGGGTCGCTTGGTGATTTCCAAACTCAATCAAATTTTATTAAACTATTTGAATTACCTTGTTTTATTCATAACCCAGAGAAGATAGTTAATAGTTGCATTAAAGAAACAACAACATACGAATAAAAATCAGCCATCAGCCTTTAATTTTTATATTGGTAATTTTTATAAAAGTAATTAAATGAATAAATGACTATTAAAAGAATATTATATGGTTAATAGACTGTTGCATTTGTGTTGTGACTGTGCTCATGTTCATATACGTCTTTAGTTTTGTCTGCAACGTTTACATATTTACAGTATAATCACCTTGAAAAATGGTGAAAAGTTTTTATTAACAAAATAAAATTGTTATTTTGGGGGTTACGGGCTGAAAAGTTTTGGAACCCCTGGTCTAAAAAAGGGATGCCCAAACTCGGGCTGTTTCTCAATTCCAAGAACGCAGAGAACGGACTTGCGTTCTTGTGGAGAGCGGTCTTGCCAGGTGTCCTCAAGAACGAACTCGGTTGACCGCGAGGGCAGAGAACGCGTCCTGTGAGAAATGAGATGCTGCGTTCTTCCTGATGGTCACATGACCTTCACGTGTTTTAATGGAATATTATTTAAACATTACAGCATTCATACAACGATTTATCGTTTTTCCCCATTTTCAAAATATATACAAACATAAAACAATATAAATATACATGGCACAATTCAAATAAAATAGATTCTAATATGATTTTCAGCAAATAAACACACATAATGTGTTTATTCCTTTATTAAGATGTCCACGGTAATGTATATATTGACCGTTTCATTTAGGGAAACTCCTGAGGTAAATAAGTGATATC